TACCGCGGGGCGGAATAATATACGCCCATCGAATGCCATATAGTGTTATATACTTTCTAACGGACAACCCCATACCATGATACTTCCGTCAAATTTGACAGGCGTATAAAAATTATATAAAAAAATGAAAAAAAAGGTGTAGCAATGGGGACATAGATCATTGTTTTGCCTATTATGATAGACATGCAGTGGGATACAACAGGTGCACTCTGGGTTTCTTCAATGTCCCCTAAACAGAGGACAAGGGAGAAACCACAACTCGTTCTGCAGCAGGGGGGGGGGGGTGTACAGTAGTCGCCTCTTAATTAGCAGTAGTGCTCAGGTTATGTATTTATACACTGCAAATAGCAGTTGCAGTTATACTCTCATAAATGAACCTCCACATAGAACAGATATATAGAAGGGTATTGCCACACCAAATGAAAATAGAACTACTTGTATGACATTACAATAGCAACACTGTTATACACAGCTTTCAAAGTGTTTTAATTATTCATGGACGGACATCTGTTCGTGAGCGTCAGCAGTGGTTAACCATTACGTGTGTGGAACGTTATCTGGTCGCGATTTCATCGTTCATCCGCTGAACGCCTCCAGTCAATAGGTAGGCAATTAACATGTTTATGTGGAATCAATTAGAAATGACAGTGCTTTCCCAATTTGTTTCTTGTGTGATATACTAAAGGTACACATACAGCATTTTATTCTGTCCAGGAGTTGATTTCTGTGTAGTTGTATCTTTTTCAGGTGCTAATACACTGTTTAATGTTCAGGAGAACAGTGCTCTGGAGTTATTTTTCTATTTTCCTTGATTGTCAGGTCAAAATATAGGTCAGTTACCAAATATTGCTTTTGCCCCCTATACCTAGATTGCTGATACTACATAACAACATATGAAGAATTCTCAGGGAATTATTTTTCTCCAATGTCAGAGGTCAAAATGTGGGTCAAAATTTGGCTGTCAACATTTGGCTGTCAACATGCTTTCCTAGACAAACCCCGGCCCCTATATACAAAGTTAATTGACCCCGACCCCTCCCTGGATGAAAATCACTATGTAATACACTGTAAGTAGTAAACTTTCGCTTATCAAGATCCAAACGGTTGGACCAGAGTTGTTTGTTTACGAAGCAAGGTCAGATCTAGTAATCTGATGCTGTTTTCAGGCAAGCCTCGACAAAGCCTTGCAGGGCCTGCATAAACACCTGCATGTCACAACCAGGATTTATAACTGAAAATGTTACCTTTAAAAAAAAGACAAACCAGTTGTTCCGCATAAACGAACAGACCTCACGAGAGTAAAGAACCGTTGCAATGTCAAGGAAATATAATGATCTCTTGCGAGACACCCCCTCACAGACAGGATGCACTTCAGACAAGGGAAAGACAGATTGCCACACGATCCACCAGTTTGTTCCGAGTTACCTCTAACCAGTTATGTTTTAAAGATCCCTGTCCCACTGCACCGTGTTTTCCCCTATATACAGTAACCTGCACTAAATTTCTTTTGGGATATAACTGTAGGGCCAGAACACATCTGATGACTAGTTAGCTCTGTCGGTTAGAGTGATAGTATGACTATCTGAAGTCCAGGGTTCAGTGCCTGACCTACCCCAGCTGAATTTTTACATTCAGACCACTGCTGCTGAATATATTTTGTTTATTTCCTCCTCTCATCTTCACTTTTTTTGATAAAAATCCTGCAAGGTATGGCTTTCTTTTCAGAAATAATTTATCAAAGTTCTAGTCATGCCAGAAAAATGGTTTCTAATGCATATAGAGTATTTTTGGCAGTGGTATAGGGATTCTTAAGTCAAATCTACTTGACATGCGATTACATTATATTGTACAAATGAACTTGTATATCATTTAACAATAAAAGAAAAGAAAACAAATTAGGCCCCAACACTTCTGCCAACCAACAAATGAACTTGTATATCATTTAACAATAAAAGAAAACAAAACAAATTAGGCCCCAACACTTTTGCCAACCATGGGAATGGGAATGGGAGTGGGGTGTGTTTATATATATACATCATTAAATTCCCTTAGCCCAATGGGTGATCCATAACATATTTCATCAAAATCATCTTGGCTGTTCTGGACTTGTCCCTTTGGTCCATGTGAGCTAAAAGTGCTGTTTCTGCATGGGTTTTTTATGCTACCACAACTTTAACTCATATCAAATTTGGTAGCTTTTTTACATTTTTTTTTATCATGAATGCAACTGATCTTTTTGTTATATATTTTTTCTACACATTTTTAATACCGGTAGCAATAGCACTATTAACACATCCCTTTGACCAACAGCAGAGGGACCTTGGCAACTGGAAGTTTGATCGTTTGAATTGAGTCATGCCAACAGTCAATACATTTTATGGTAACTTTTGAGCAAAAATTAATACTGCAGTGTTTGACATTCTCTTTTCAAAGTGAGGTTGCAATTTGACCTATTTAACTAGCAACAAGAGCTTTCTGGTTTCTAAGTAAACGTTTTTCTTCTGATAAAACTATTTAAGCTTAAAATGAAATATAAGCAAACTTGGGAACAGAAGAACCTCTCAACTGGAGAGAAATCTGTAATACACTTTCTGAGAATTTGCTATTAACTCATTCACCCCTGAAGACACATTTTAACTCTTCCACTTCAAAGTTGGAATGGTTCATTATGAAAGTTCAGGGAAGAATGAGTTAATAAGTGTATGTCTGCCTGGCAGACACCTTGTCTCAAAATTGAACATGCAAAACTAAGGAGCACGACGATCTTACATATGAATTTGAGAAAGGTGTCGAGTACTCATGGATTACCGTAATAGTGTAAACTGTCAAAATCAAAAACGGCTGCCTGATTGCAATCTTGTTTGTTTTATTATCAGTCTCGGATTGAAACATGCACAGCTATGGACCAAGGGTAGTCTTCAGATGAAAGGATGAGTGTCTATAAGGCCCTTTTTTGGCCCCTGGTTTATCCGGATTTTCACCTCTATTTATTATTTAAGATGTGCTATTGTATTACATAAGCAAAAACTAAGGCAAAATTGGACCAAAAGTGGGTTTTTGGGGTACAAAACGGGTAGGGCAAATCACAAATATAACTTGCTGTTTTCAAAATGATCTAAAACAACCAAAATAATAACAGTTCTGTTTTTGAAAACATGTGTAAATTAACAGGCATATATGTGTATATACATATAAATTATATGAAAATTTAATTTTCAGAAATTCAATTGTCACTTGAAGATTGTTTATATAAATTGGAGTATTAAGTCGGGGGGGGTTCTCATTTTCCCATTTACATACAGTGACATGTTATTTAGTCATTTTCCACCCCGACACCTGTCTATATGAATGTTTGCAGATTAAACAGGCTCAATAGAGTGTTTATAGTAGTCAGAGGAGTGTACGACATGCTAAGAGAGACTAAGTCATATAGACTGGTATTATAATGAAATATTTGGTGTTTAGCAAGGAGATGCACTTTAGTCCTTGTGCTCGAAAACACAAGAAAAAGTGTTTTCAAGTAAAAAGGCATTGTGGGATAAGTACAAAACTTTCACAAATACTTACTGTATAACATGAAATGTTCATGGGTACTTTCCTTCTTGGTTTGAAACCTTTTAGATTGTTTTGTGGTACAAACCTTCGTGGATTTCCTACATTAACCAACAGTAGACACGTGTATCATCCAAAATCGTTGGTATATATTTTCAGGGTTCAATAGTAACCACGAAAACCTCGAATGTTTATACACAACGAACATTTCATGTTACACTGCAGTATCGTCATAGAACTGATATCTATGCCAAGTTTCGTGCTTATCCCAAAATGCCTTTTTTGTACAATCAGCACATAGACATAGGAAATAGACAGAACAATTGATAAAACAATGAAATGGGTTAACTTTAATGATTAAAACAAATACTTTTCTTGAGGCTAGGTGACTTAATATTACCAGCAAATCAAACTTCATACATCAAATTAATCATTTTACTGTAGTTGTTATGGCAAATGCCTTTTTATGATAAGTAAGAAAACAAATCAGGACCTGGAACTCACTTAAGCCACAGGTGCTGAGCACATATTATGGGATGTATAAAATATACAATATCACCTTAGTCATGATCCTAATTCTGCTATTTAGGTCTTTGACCAGAAATACATCATGTCTATATGAATGCTCCTTCAACACGGCTCCTGCTCTGGATTATCAATGACTGGGTAAGCACAAAGTGGCTGTACTAGGGACATTTTAGTGCTGCCCAGTTATAATTGATATCCGGAGTGGTGTTGGGAGACTGGTTAATATAACATTAGAATTTAACATATACTGAAAATATTGGCTATTTGTTCTGCTATAAAGTAATTAAAATGCAGTTTCTTGTATAAATGTTGATATTTTACTTTCATCGTAAGCATATGCATGTTGACCTGGGTTATACATATTACAACTCAAAATATGATTTAGAAAGGAAATTATTGAGAAAACAAAACATTATCATTTGAAAATTACCTAAAAGAACCCCCTGACATAATCCTCTATTTTATATAAACAATCTGTAAGTGATGATTGCATTTCGATAATTTTTCATTCTTTTATATATGCCTGTTTAATTTACACGTTTTCAAAAACAGAAATGGTATTATTTTGGTTGTTTAGCCCATTTTGAAAACAGCAAATTATAATTGTGATTTATCCTACCCCTTTTGGTACCCCAAAACCCCACTTTCGGTCCAACTTTTGCCTTAGTTTTTTGCACATGTAATACAATAGGACATCTTTGAATAAGTTGAAGTGAAAATCCGTACATACCGGGGCCCAAAAAAGGGCCTTATAGACACTCACGCAATGAGGAGATCTGTCCCATACAACTTGAGAAGTAGTAATAACAATAATTGTTCAAAGACGGACAACGGACCAACAGATGATGGACAAAGGACGAAGGGCAATTCGAACCGCTCAACATCTGATGATGGTGAGCTAAAGATGAGGCAAACAAAGGTGGCAGTATATTGTTGCTTTTTAATGTTTTACTGTTAGAAAAGCACATTACAGAGACATACAATTCATGATATTCATTCTACAAAAAATTTGCTTCAATTTGCTTTCTACTTATTGGACATAAGAAAACTGACAGTGCAATCAATGCAGCTCATCCTCCATGGATGAGAAGTCACACGACTTTTCAGGGTAAAGTTTGTAATGAAGTTAGACACTTCCCCTAATAAGTTACTACAGCATATACCAGTTATGGACAGTGTTAGATTGTTAATTAGTCTTTAAAGTATACCTAATCAGACCTTGGATCCTGGAATATCAATAGTTCCCAAAATAAACATCTGTTCGTGGTTCATTTGTATAAACGCTGTAAAATTACACAAGTCGGAATTTTCTATCTCTTGTACATCAGAGGGCAAACATATCAAAAATTAACACAATAATCACACTCAAGTGTAAAAAAAAATCACAAAAACAGGACAATGCAATGTGAAAACTACAAATTTTGCTCTTTATATCAAGTCATTGAGTGTTATCTACATGAAGCCAAATGAAAACTTGAACAAGAATGAAAAAACCTGCATGTAATGATGGCATGCATTAATCATAACAATAAAATTACAACCTTTTTTAAACCAATCTGAGCACTCACTGTTCCCTAGGACGTGCGATAATGGAAAATGGACATGGTAAATTTGTAAATAGTAACACAGTACACACAACAATGTTGAGCAACAATATTTGATCAGTCAATGTCTGAAGTTCATTATTTTTTTTAACATTTTGTTTTTCGGAATAAAGGTGAATTTGGATGTATCTATCACCTAGGGGATTTGTTTGAAATTTTATGTCAGTTCACATTAGATACAAAGGAAATATTTTTTACTGATTCAGGGGTGTGAAAATCAAGCCTTAGTACATTACCGATTGCCGACCTATTCTGGCGCCAGCGCACCTTACACTTCTTTTTCTTTTCAAAACAAACTACCAAAAGTGTTTTTGTTTGACCAAGACATATGTGCCATAGTGGGAATAGGTACGCAGCGAAAAAGGTCACCAATCCGTAGTGTTTCAAGTTACTGGAACAGCTCAGTCACTGCTTCTGGCATGTAGACCTTTACACCCGAGATTCTAAAGATAGAGCAGTACTACCAATATAAAAAAAAAAAAATCATTGACTTGCCCCTTAAATAATAACAAAGGTCAGGCCCCGTCACCATCACCAGTATATCAATAAATATATCTGGACTTAATTTTAGTAAATAGTATTATTGTTAACTTATTTTTTCTCCTACAATTACCACACCTATATGCATGGGTGACATTTTCTTTTAAGACATCAAGGTCCGTTTCTCCACACAAATGCTCTTTCTTTACACTGACCAATACAATTCTAGTAACACTAAATCTGGGTTGTCTGCCTTTTTACAGGGGCAAGGTCACTTTCTAAGGGGCCTCAAGTTACAGGAATGGTTACTATAGCAACAGATCCTCACCATAACCTAATTTGATGTAACAAGTACAAAGTGCATGTAAGCATACTACTATTTCACCCGATATACCAAAAATTTCATATTGTTTTCATTTAAATTAGGGGACACATATTTTGCCAAAAGTACAAGATGATCTCAAAAGTCAAAACTCCTTAATCAAAATTTTCTGCAAAAGTCTTTCATCTGGCATGTCTTAATTTAGCACTACATCTTGATAGAAAGTATCTCACCCTTATAGGGGCTCCAAAGTTCTATAGACAACATGCTTAGTACTCGTTGCATCAAATGATTCCTTCGTTACATTTATATAATAATTAAGATGTTGCTACTAAGCATCCGATACAGCCGAAGATATAGGGTCACACTAAGAATCTTGCCCTTCGATGTCCTCCACAACTCCGCCCTGTTGTTCCTCTGTAAACACAAACATAATTTAATATTATCATCAACCTGAATATGGCGTCATTACAAGTCACGAGATCGGTCACAGATCTATCACACTTTCTGAACATTGTTCCTCCTACTGATAATAGATTAAACTGTCAATGTGAACGAACAAGGCATGGCCACCACAAAAAACAAAAACAAAAAGTCTCAGGAGCCAAGCATGATATTCACATTTTCACAATGTTCACATTTGATTTGAGGTCTTCACTCAATATCACTGATAAACATTTAAGGAAAAAAATATTGCAACTATTTAGTGACGTATCAACAAATGTTGATGCAGTGATTATTTTTGCTCAGTTTTACTGCCGAATACAGGCTGTTCCCCTCGCTAAAAAGTGTCATCCCCGCATGCTTCTGGCCAAATATCATCACCCTAGACCTTGTGGTTATTCAGAAGAATTCATTGAACGTTTTAACATATTTGACCCCTGTGACCTTGAATATGGACATAGGTCGTTCATTTGATCAAACTTGATAGCCCTTCATCACAGTATGCTTCTCGCCACATATTATCACCTTAGGCCTTTTGGTTATTAAGTAGAAGTCATTTAAAGTAAAATCTTGACGCCGGACGACGCGCCATGGCATGAGCTCACTGGGCTCTTTGGGCCAGCTTTGCTATAAACCACTCTTGATACTCTATCCCACCTAGCTTGCTATGACAACTGTTATTACTCTAAGCCTGATAAATCCTGAGAAGAGAAGAAGTTGTTTAACATTCTAACATTACCGACTTCTTTGACCTTGGAATCAGGTCAAGGTCTTTATTTGAACAAAGTCATTATCCTCCATCCCAGTAAGTCAAATACTATTCCTCTAGATTGTACAAGATAGTTATACATACATAATACATATATAACTCTGTAAACTACTTGTAGTAAATGTCAGATGGGGGAACACAGAATGCCCTCAACTACAGGTTTAACAATCATCATTGTTCAAACAGCAATAACAGCAGCAAATCTAGCTGTTGGGAAACATTTTATCCACCAAAGTCACACAAAGGATGATTTGCGATTGAGTGGTGAAAATCAACCACTGTGCTACTTGAGACAAACAGCAACATTAGACTAAAGGAAGTTACTGGACAGAACAAATCCAGAGCACCTATCTTCTTGGAATGAAGCAACCCATGGAACTACTCTTGTTAGCGTCCTTTTACACTATACATTTTAACAATAGTACTTGTTCTGGGGTTACTCTGTTCCAGGTACCTACTGGCCAAATATCAGGACCCAAGGTCCTACAGTTTTTAAAAGAAGAAGCTGACGGATAACGGACAACACACCACCCATAAGCTCACAGGCATTTTGTGCCAGGTGAGCTGAAAACTTAACATTAGATCAATTCTAATTATTTCAGACTGAAACAATACACAAGTTAGTGCATTGATATCATGTCATGTTAACTGAATACAACTTTCTATTGTGATAAAATCAATTTACCCTCGGCATCTCCCATGTCGGTGGTCCACAGTGTCAGGTTGTCCCTCAACAGCTGCATGATTAGTGTTGAATCCTTGTAACTTTCCTCAGACAGTTGTTCCAACTGGCCTACAGCTTCATCAAAGGCTTCTCTCGCAAGGTCGCACGCCTTTTTGGGCGAGTTCAGAATTTCATAGTAAAATACTGAAAAGTTGAGGGCCAAACCAAGGCGAATGGGGTGGGTGGGTGGTAGATCTGCCCCAGTTGCTTGTGTAGCATTTGTGTAGGCCAGTAAACTGTCTTCAGAGGCTTTTTTTCTGTCATCACCAGTGGAGAACTCTGCTAGATAGCGGTTATAATCCCCCTCCCTGAAATCAAACAGCAAACACATGAATCTGTCATAAGTTAAGATCGAGTTATACATAATATAGTTACAATGGCATTGAATTGCACCCCCCATTCCCACCCCACACCCTTTCAACTAACATCTCTTATTTATATCTATTCCATTTTTTTCTTTTCGAAAGACAACGTGGTTTTATTTTTTATTGCTGTTTGAATAGGAGATGCCCCACAAGGTATGAATATTTAGGTTACATCTACACAGTACGACACTTAAAAGCCAGGAAACCCCTACTTTGTTGGGGAACAAACACACACACAAGGGTTCATCATACATCTTACACCTTTTAGTTACACAAGCAAGTTGTAATAACATTCATCATCAAACATATTCATCAGTAACCAGAAAAAGCTGATACATCAAATTGCTTTAAACATTTTTTTATACACTGTATCAGTTATAGTCAGGAATAATCATGGAGGGGCCATGGGGCCGTTAATCCCTCAAAACTGAAATTGACCCATTCATGTTTCAATTTCATTTTTATTTTGCATAGAATGGCCCCTCTTAATTTTGATATAGACTGAAAAATTGCTGAAATGGCCCACTGCACTCAAATTCCAGGATTTTCCCTGTTTATTATATACATAACTTTCAGCCATTTGTTTTACTTTGAAAACATATTCATTTTTTTATTCTTCTTTTAACAAGTTATCATTGTGTTATGTTTTATTAGACTCAATCAAATCCATTTGTAGTTTATTTTTTAAGGATTAATGAGAATGAAAAATGTTGTTTCATCATAATATACACGAGTAAAAGTAAGTACTCTTTTTTTCTGTTATTTTGCTTGAATTTAAAGTGTAGAATTTAAAAGCTTTAAATAAAACCCTTGAGCTTAAAAAGAGACAATACATTATTAGTTAGCAATAACTTCAAATATATCCACTAACTTGAGATCATAGTGGCCATCGCAGAAATTAGTATTGACCCAAATAATGTCAATAACAGTTTTAAAATCGTTAAGGTATCAACAGAATATCTGCACTAAATGTACGTTAAATAGACCCAACAGAATTGAAAATTAGTTCAAAGTTTCTATTTCATATTTCAAATCAACATCGAAAAGAATAACAGTGTATGTTAAAGACCAGTATCAGGTTTTGGAACCATTGCATTGGCCAGTCGGATGTTAATGCACTGAAATGGTTCAGATAATCAGAAAACATGCAGCTTTATATAGTCACCTTTAAAGTGAAATACGGGGAGGGGGGGAAACGCCAGATCACGGCCATGCAAGGATTTTTTTTTTGATTTTTTTTCAAACTCTGTCTGATGGAAAATGTGAACAAGTCAAACAATCTTTCAGCCAATCTTAAGCCAAGAAAGCGATCTTGCTTTTCAATTTGGCCAGAGAAATCCCTGCTGGTCATAAAATGGTCAATAACACCAAGTTTGGTAAACTGTTGCTTATTTGACCTTGCAAAAGTTTTAAATGTTGGTCTCTTTTCCCCTGAAGGGCCCCATCCCTCTCTTCCCAACCAAATACATCCTACATCTAGGAATACTCTATAATGAGGTTTATTTTTGTGCAATGCAACTTAAGGACTAGGAGTAATCATATCCAAATTTCTGCCGATGGGCCCCACCTTCGTGCACAGTATAAGATTTCCCTCACCCAGGGATGCTTCATGCTTATGAGGTTCATATCCTAATTTTGTTTACTTTTGATCTGTTCACATTCTTAATACAATCTCGATACTCGCGGGTTACGCTCGCTTACGCTCTCTGCAACCATGGAATAGGTCATGACAAAATTGAAGGCTCAGTGTGCGCCACCTTGTGGATGAGACAAGGCGGCTAGTTTGATCCTTTGCAGTACATCAAAAGAATCTCGCTGTGCCATAACGGTAAAATGGACTTGCTTTTAAGTCGGGTGTCGTTCCTCTGTAATCTTCCGAGGACAAATATCAGCCTAGCGATTGGTCAGATTTTTTTTTAACAGAGACTAACCAAATGGCTATCTTCTTGACTTCACTTTTAATTTGCAAAGACATATTCCAAGAGTACGAGAGCATTAAGAGAGCGATCCTTAAAAATATATTTTGAAAATATTTTGAAGAAACCAACCTAAATATTTTGAAGAAACCAACCTTTTTTCAATGTTAAATTCAGCATGAATTCAGCTCAGTCAATTTTAACAATTTCACAGACTAGGCCCCTTAGTAAACTTTGATAAAACTTTTTTTTAAATTACTTTCCTAATTACCTTCTTTATTCAGTTTAAAATCACTACATAATTTTGAAATGCTTGATCAGAAATCTTGTCATTTTTCCTTGTATAGGAAACATAATACATGTGTAGCCTATTATATGCAGTCACTGGGAAATGGGAATGATGTCGGGTTTGACCTATTTATCATCTATATACTACTTTATACCACCTACCGGTAGTATGATAAATTCATTATTGTTGGTTGTGAGTATGAAAAGAAGTTCAGAACGACTTGAGAACCGCACGAAACTTCTATTTGTTTACGTTTGTCAGACGATCATTGACCATTGAGCTTTTGAAGTAATTTGGAAAACATGGTGTTTAGTTGACTTTTTTAAATGGAGAAATATATAAGGAAGTAGTATATAGATGATAAATAGTTTATCATACATAATTTTCAGTGTGTGCTGTGAGAACAATTTTCTTATCGCTTGCACTAAGATAAAATCTTTAGTCTGTGGTGGCCTTTCGATTTTATCCACGTGCTCGCGATGAGAAAATTATTCTCACAACAAACCCTGAAAAAACATGTGCAGTGTGATAATCTATAAATATCAATGAATGATGTCCGACATGACCCGTGTATCTGCAGTGATATCCGACATGACCTGTGCATCAATGAATGATGTCCGACATGACCTGTGTATCTGCAGTGATGTCCGACATGACCTGTGCGTCATTGAGTGATGTCGGACATGACCTGTGCATCATCGAGTGATGTCCGACATGACCTGTGTATCTGCAGTGATGTCAGGCATGACCTGTATATCTGCGAGTGACATAATTTATAAGTTTGTATCATGAATGATGTCACATATATCCATGTGTTCCAAATAGCATATATCCTGCATAATTAACTCATTGTGTAATTCTTCAGTAAATCTTTTTTCTATGCAGCTTTTTCATATTATAATCCATTTATCCTGCACACATGTTAGGGTGGCACAGAACACACCCTCCATTGATGTAAATTTTAGTTTTTGTTATCAGTTTCAAAAAAGTACATGTATAATTATGGACCAAAGGAACCCTTCATATTCAATTTGAGAAATATCTGTCCAGCACTTTTTGAGAAATAGTGATAACAAACTTTTCCAAATCAGACATTTGTTAATTTCTCTTATCTTGCTTAGCACAACTGTACCAATACACCTCAAGATAAATGATACCACTGCATCAGTTATAATGGCAAAGAGGAGTTCCACGTGTTTTATTTACATCCAGTAATCTCCCAGAGAAGAGTTCCACGAGTTTTATTTACATAGAGTATTCTCCCAAAAAAAGAGTTCCACAAGAGTTTTATTTAAATGGAGTATTCTCCCAAAGAAGAGTTCCACAAGTTTTATTTAAATGGAGTATTCTCCCAAAAAAAAGAGTTCCACGAGAGTTTAATTTACATCCAGTAATCTACTAAAAAAGAGTTTGATGAGTTTTATTTACATAGAGTATTCTCCAAAAGTAATGGAGTATTCTCCCAAAAAAAAAAGAGTTCCACGAAAGTTTTATTTACATCCAGTACTCTGCCAAAAAAGAGTTCCACGAGGGTTTTATTTAAATGGAGTATTCTCCCATAGAAGAGTTCTACGAGAGTTCAATTTACATCGAGTATTCTCCCAAAAAAGAGTTCCACGAGAGTTTTATTTACATCGAGTATTCTACAAAAGAAGAGTTCCACGAGAGTTCAATTTAAATGGAGTATTCTCCCATAGAAGAGTTCCACGAGAGTTCAATTTACAGAGTATTCTCCCAAAAAAAAAAGAGTTCCATGAGAGTTTTATTTACATAGAGTATTCTCCAAAAGAAGTGTTCCATGTGAGTTTTATTTACATAGAGTATTCTCTGAAAGAAGTGTTCCATGAGAGTTGATTAGTCCCCCAAAGAAGAGTTCCATGAGAGTTGAGTAGTCCCCCAAAGAAGAGTTCCATGAGAGTTGAGTGTAGTCCCCCAAAGAAGAGTTCCATGAGAGTTGATTAGTCCCCCAAAGAAGAGTTCCATGAGAGTTGAGTAGTCCCCCAAAAAAAAGAGTTCCATTTACATCGAGTATTCTCCCTTCTATATACAAAATGAAGCTTCCCATTTTTGTGGACGAGAGTAACTTTCCTGTCAATTGCTTTGCAGCTCATACATTTGATGCTATTTTTTATGCTTTGCAGTTAACATTCCCTAAATAACAACATGGATAAATAGCAGGCTTTGTAAATTAAGGTCCCCAAGTCCAACCCCCGCTTTTTGTGTTTTCTTTTTTCTTTTGAATAGTTCAAATTCGAACAATTGTATGAAAAATGCATGGCCACAACTATTATTAAAAATACTTCACAATAGTAACAATGGTAGTTTCCTAGTTTAATATGTTGGTTCCTTTCAGAAATGGTGAAATGTAAGGTTTGACAATAAAAATGTTTCTCCTCTGTGCCAAATAAATCAACACCTATTTTTTCTTTTCACACTTAAGAAACCAAAGAGCAGGGTTTAGCAAAATAAACAATGGGTCTAGTTAACTGCGACATCACCATAGCCCTGACATTTATTTATTGCGACATGTTGCAATGAACTTAACGGAAGAAACATACCTATTTGGAGACACATTTGAACAGAAGACAAAACAGCAATAGATATATATGTATATTTTAATGGTTTCACATTAATTCTGTTAAAACAAAACAATGAGGAATACATAAAGATTATGTGGATATTGAGTGATAATTAATTATAAAAACAAGCACAAACTACATTGATGATAGTATTGGTAA